TTTCTTTCAAATGAAATAATTATTTTATATGTAAATAATTAACTTCTGATATCTATTAGTTTATGATAATAATTAGAATGTGAAAACTTTGCGTCTAAATAAAGCTCACAATAAATAATATTTTTTACAAAATTGAAATTCCCATATTGATTAATCTTATATATTGTGTAAAAGTTTCCAAGGCGCGATTGCAATATCTCAGATTATAATAAATTATTAATTAACAGTAGATAAACATTATTTATAAAATTACATAATATTAATAGGTATTAATTTTTCTAAATTAAAATATTAAAAATAAAATTAGATAGAAATATTATCAATTCAATTGATTGAAATACTTAACAACTAAAATAAAATATCTTTACTTTTATTCGTGCAAATTGACTTCTAATTTCTTTATTTGTCTTGTACAAGTAATACATCATTTTCATAAATTGTTCAAAATTACCAGTAATAAATATTTTCTATTATCAAATTAATTATATTGTTAACTAATCTTGGATTATTTGAATTAATAATATTAGAAAGATGGAAATTTTATTTTTTCAAGTGCTTATAAGTGGCGAAGAAGCATATTTTGTTTAAAGGCTCAAGCGGTTCTTTATTAAATTAATTTATAAAAGGAAATCAACTTATTAAACATAGCGTAAATTTACATAAAGACGAAATAATTTTATTTAGTAACATGGAATATTACAGTTACTCGATCATCTTCATGAAATGACGACTGACATTCTTGTGCTTAAAAATCATAAATTTATCGTTATTTATCTTAATTAAACTAAAATATAACGTCGATTTTGCATTTATAGTTTTTTGCATCGACGTTATTTATTATTGCATAATATAAAATATCTGAAATTAATGGAATTTATGGAAGAGGTCAAATTGAAAGGTTAAAGTTAAGGTAAAAGTTAATCGACAAAAATAGTTAGATAAAATAAGTTTTGGGGGAATATTTTGATAATTTATTATCAAGAGACTATTTATTGCTGAGAATTTAAAATGGATGTAAGCAAATTCGTTGATTTCGAAATGTTCAATTGGATCTTATTGTTTTTTGGCTTATTTATTATATTGTAGTTAAAATTTAGTTTTTTTTCTTCTTCTATGACATAGTAAAGAATATTTAAATTAATAAATTATTTAAACATAATTTGCTATATAATATAATAATTTAATAATAATAAATATAGTAATCATAATAAATACAGAAATTCGTATTTTTTAAACTGAAAATTTATTATATTAAACTTTAAATATTATCTAGATATTAAAATATTAAAACTTGTAATAACTGGATAGAATTTTATTATTATAATTTTATTAGAAAAAACAATGATAAATAAAATTGATGATTACGAGAAGTTAGCTATATATATATATATATATATATATATATATATAGAAGCTTTTTTTTTTTTAAATTTGGACAAAATGAGAAGCCAACATTCACATTTACTACTGTAGTTGATATCGATTAACTAATATGTTTGTAAAATTGTATTTTTTTTATATGTATTATGGTTATAGAAAGTAGTAGAATTATTTCAAATAAAAAAAAATTGATAGACTATTTTACTATATCTTGAGTGAAATATCGACGAAAACATTACTTCATATGAAATCAACTGGCAGTTGTCAAAAAATACTTCAGTTTTCAAATACTAATAGTTGTAATAAAAAAAATTTGCATGCTCGTTGATTTTGTAGATACAGTTTTGATCAAAATACTTTGAAAGATATAAATAGTATATAGTTTTGAAGGAGTGTTGTAATTTTAATTTTGACTTAATGTCTCTGACTTATTACAGGTTGGCATAGTACACACACACATTGATATTTCTGGATTGTCGTTTTAATATATCAATTATTATTATGAGTGGAGAATGTTTATGATATTGAATTGTTCCATCTGTATTTGAGCCTCAGTTTATTTTCATAAAATTATTTCGATAATCAGTAGAGCCGCCATTGAAGGACTTTGGCCAATATCTCTATAGTCACTCGATTACATTATTCTAAGTTTATACTTTCTCGGCTAAACTTTGTTCTGCTGCTCACTTTCATGTCATTCAAATAAGCCGATTATAACTATTCTTATTGTTTACAATAATGTATTTACACCAATAGATCTTGGAATAATAATTTTCGAAATTTCAATTAAAGTATGTCACACGATCGACATAACATTTCTAATAAATTAATGTACTTTCATTGATAATTTTATAAAATTTTACTATAATAAATAATTATTTCGTGATAATTATATAATGCATTTGAATTGAGCGATATCTGCGCTTATTTATTGTCGACACTTTTTTCTCAAGTGTCAGTATATGAATCATATGTTGAATCATAATTTGAAATGAAACTTTCCGGAGCAGGTGTAAATATCTTAACAAATATCATTTAAAAGACAATGTTATATTACATAAATTTGCATTTATTCTTTGGCGAAAGATATAAAATTTCTTAATATTATTTTTTTTTTCCCCAATTCCAAAATAACTCGGACAAAAACGTTGAAAAGATATACTTTCACTATAAATAAAAGAATACAGACTATAGATATTAATTGGAATATATGAAAGACTCAATCTTAACATTTTGACAAAAAATATTATTGTATTTGTTCCATTTTGTATATATTTCTACCATTATTTTCTTATCGGATCAAATGACTTATTTTTAGAGATTTTACATTCGTTTCATATTGACATTCGTTTTATATTAATATTATTATATATTATTGTTATATTGATATTATTGTTTTATCGATGATGGCTTAAAATTCTCTTTGACATTCGTTTAACTAATTATTCCTTAAAATTATGATTAAGTGAATGTAAGTTATTTTCAATAGTTAATTAGATATTTAATAAAAAACTTGATTTTTTGATTTAAATTATATATAACCGAGTATGTTACGGTGTTAATTGCAGAGATGCAAAAGTTATTTGCAACAAAAAAAAAAAGTTTAATATATCTTCAGCCTAAGGAAACATATTGTTCACAACAACAAAAATCTATGAAATGTTATGTCGACAGAGAAATCTGAAATTCTACTATGGACTTTAGATTTGCCAAGGTTATTAAATTTATATATCACCGAATCTATTAACTATTACTCAAAAATTCTAAAGTTTCGTCATCGTCGAGGAGCAAAGGCTCTTCCGGGCATCGGTAGATTTAAATTTTCCATTAGGTAAGGAGCAAACAAAGCGCAGCTGGTACGTAGTGCACTGCATGAAATCACGGAACACATTCGCTATTAAAAGTACGTAAGCCGGGGATCCGAGGGTCCGAGATAAGTTGCGGATGCAATTCTCTACTTTGGCGGGCGATTCATCCCGACAGATCTCCGAAAAATCCAAGGTCGGTAGTGTGATCAGAGAGAAGGCACACTCGCACCGGCGCGCCGCCTACGCATAGAAAAGGGGATCAGCGCGGTTGTCGCGCGGACTCTCGCCTCATTCAGAAATACCTGCTCGGGGCGGAAGCATCGTCCGTGGAGGAGAGCTTTTGCATTCATCCGTCGAGCGGACGTGGAGAGTACGGCGAGAGACCAGCCTCGCGCGCTCGCCTTCCTATCTCTCTCTCTCTCTCTCTCTCTCTCTCTCTCTCTCTCTCTCTCTCGATCACTCTCGCCTAGCGTAAGTACACACTTTGCTGTTTAACCTCCCTTGCATCTCTCTCTCTCTCTCTCTCTCTCTCTCTCTCTCTCTCTCTCTCTCTCTCTGTGTGTATATATATATTATTGTCTCTCTGTTTTCCGACTCTGATTATCCGTTGTTTTTGGCATTGTTCTTGCTTGGACAGACGCTCGTCCTGCTTCTTTGAGTCGTCGATGGCATATTCTCACTTAAGCATGGAATGTGGACTTTTCATTTTTATTTGGGGCAATATCAATAAAGTAAATAACATCAATAAAGTAACTTTATTACCAATTTGTTCGCGAGTGCCTGCAGTTTATTTGTTGGTATTTAGTTGTAAATAAAAGTATTTTTAATGCATGCACATATGTAACTAAGATTACGAGATTTGTTTTTTTTTCTTCATATTTTGATAAGATACGCTTATGAATAAGTTGTAATTTATTTTGAAATTGAGGACGAGTCGACGGTGATCAATTTTCAGAGCAAACAAATCTCATCGACGAGCCATTAAATTTCCTTTGATAAATTCGTTCGAACATACGACAGGCCAATTTTTATACAATTTAATAAAGTTTATTAGAAAAGTTTTGTGCAAACATGTTTGGGTAAATAATATCACAAGATTTTGATTGAAATAAAGCTTATATTCTCGAATCTTTCTTTACATGCAGCAGTTCATTTAAAAAAAAAAAAAAAAAAAAAAAAAAAAATGTTTTTTATTTATTTTGCTATAAAACTTTTACACAAAATATTTTAAAAATACATTTCGCGTAAAAAAGTTGCTCACTAGTTGCGATAACTGGGAATGAAAATATTTCATTCGATGTTTAAAAAGGTAAAAAAACAATTAAACGACAACATTCATTTATATATTTAGTTCATTTATACATTTATTTATTTTAAAAATAAATATATCGTATACAATAATGACATGTATTTATTTTTTTATTTATCGTCGGCATTTTTCCTGCGATATTTAAATTATAAAAAAAATACGTCTTTAGAAGTAATTATACTCGTATACGAGATGCTTTTACTTGATATATCAAAGCGGGATAACGTTATCCAAATTGTATAAGACATTTTTTTGTTCATTGCTACATTTGTTTATCGTAAATAAAAATAATTCCACATAATGAACGTATTCTTACGATATTCAATGCTTATATGCACATATGTGATCGTTGCATGTGCAAAATATGAATTTATAGTGAACTTAAGTGAATTTCCTGTTAATTCGTATACAGATTCGATACATCGTTAAAGGAAAGCATAGAAGGGCAACTCCGCGCCTAAACAAAGGACAGACAGACATTTTGAAAACTAATAACAGGCATCATGACAGGCTCAAGCTCAGTTTCTACGACAATGTTTATTGCTCTACTGCTGATCACTTGTTACGCCCTCGAAATTGCCGCGAAACGTAAGTTCGTCATATGTCCCAAATCTGTTTTTCTGCACATATGATTTATTCGCTGCTCGAAATTTTATTTATTTCTCCCTTCCCACACGTCAAATTCATAAATAATTCGATCGTCGATCACTCATCTCTCCCATGTTGTTAATTTTTGTAAAATCATGTGTAGAATATTCGTAGGTTGGACTGTACAAACTCAAACTACCTTAACTGTAGCTCTATTGTCCAACATTTTATTACTCCTTTAGCGAATGGATCTCAATATTTACTCTCAAAATATTGATTCGGTTGTAGTGAAACACAACATAATCGTAGTATCCCTCATTTCATGACAATGTAGAAATTGTTTTTCATCATCAATATACATCTACTTACTTTTTCCGATTTTCTTCTACAGACAGATATAATAACAACAACCTTTCTTTTCATTAAAATGCCATTTTATATGCTTAAATTTGTATCTATGTGGAATTATTGTAATTATTTTTTCACAAATTATAAATTGTTCATTCTAATAATTTACTCTAATATTTAAAAATATGTTTAAACGTATGTTCAAACATAAAGTCCATCTTATGAGTCGACATTGATTTAATTATGTACAAAAATTTTATTCGTACTTATATTGTTTAATAGAAAAACATTTGTTTAACTATCATAATATTACAAATAATGTCTTATTTTATCATATGTCTGTAAAAAATTATGTATATTTTAATAAGTAAATTTAATCAATATCTTATTGATAAAATTGTTCAAATTTACAATACAATCGTTGATATTGTTATTTTTAATTTAATCATTCAACCACTAGAAATTTAAACATTTCGAGTACCATACTTATTGAACATTGTATTGTTATATTATCCAAGGGAATTATTAAAGTAAGTTCTTTTAATTTAAGATGATTGTGATTTTGCTTAAAAGAGAAGGACAGTTGGGAAAAGGAAAAGTTTTCGGTTTCCTTAATGCAAGCTATTCTAATGAAAGCAATTAATGCTTTAGCATTTCTTTACACGAGTCCACTTTATAAATTAACTGTAGCATAAAATCGTATTTCTCTTTTCCTTTACGCAACGGACAATATTTCTAGATATTTATATATGATTATATAATAATTATTCGATAAATATTAGAAATAAAATAAATTTATATCACTCAAATCATTAATTAATACTGATTACTTATTTAATAGAAGACATGCAGTTATTTACTTACTTACAAAACCTATACAATTCTTGTCTTGACAATGTCAATATAATAATTTTCTAATACAATAATAGTTTTGTTTAAATTTAAATAAGATGTCTTTTAGTTTCATTAGTTAATTAGGTGGATAATTAAAATTCGGATGCTTCCAATTACCTTAAGACATCTTAAACGATAAATCAATGAACTTAATTTTTCATATTTTTTAAGGAAGTTTTTCTTTCGATAAGGTATAATGAAAGATAATGGTGAACCTTGAACATTATTTTGTTATTATCAAAATACATTTGCGATTAAAAATATCATATCATTAATAAATACTAAATAAATATCTTTTATTAAAAATTTTAATAATCATTTAGTCCTTTGAAAATATTTTTAAATGAGAAATTAATAATTAATAGGGTTTAATGATCGAATGTATTTTTTGTTAAATTTTGTAGAAAAATTAGTGCATGAATTTTTAATTTCTAAAATTGAAACTATTGAATGTAAAATGTTTTAAATGACTGGATATTTTATTTTGTATATGTTTCAAGTAAAAAAAAATCTCTGCATAGAATTTTCATTCGTTCGATTTTCAATTTTGTCATAAAAGTATGTATAAAGTTATAAAATGGTTACATTATCAATTTGCCTTACGTTTTAAATAAACAATCAATCATGGCTACCTCTATTTAATTAATAAATAAGTTTTTATGTGTAATTGTGCATTATTTGTCAATTAAATATTTTGAAATATTTAATTAAATGAAATTTAATAAATTTAATAATTTAATTAAATTAAATGAAATATTTAATTAAATGAAAAAAAAAAAAAATAAAAAAAATATTAAATAACAAATTCATTTTTAGAAAGTGAATATTAAAAATATTTTATATATTTTTTTTTATTATTATTAGTGGTATGTTGATGTAGTTAAACAATTCAATGATTCAAGTCAAAAAGATAATATATAATAATGTTTCAAAGATAATTCAATAGTACCAGTGATAAAATTCTTATCATTAACTATATTGAGTTACTTGAATAATTCATATTTAATATCGAGTTGATAAAATTAGACAAAACTTTAATGTTCGAAGCAAAGAAATGCTTATCACATCTCAGGATTAAGATTTTTAACAAATAGTAGTTTATGTAAAAAATGTTAATATTTAGATGGAAACTTCACTTGTTGCCTACTTTCTATGAATGTATTAAGGATTTAAGAAATTAAGACATGGGTAGGCTATATTTACAAAAAATTTTAATATTACATAAAAATTTACTTGTTGCAAAATCAACATTCCTTCAGTTCAGGTATAAAAAAGTTGGAGTGCAATAGCTGACTTATCATTAAAATATTTATGATTATTGTAAAATTCATAGTGTTAAAAAATATTGAACCAACATTTTTTAAAGAATTAGATTTACGAATATTATTTTATAATATTTGAAAAAGTGTGCTTTTATTTTATATTAATTGATTTATTGTGTTTATTCAGTTATATATGAATGTTCGGTTTATATTGATATTGAGACAAAAATATATATATTAGTGAAACATTTATTTATGCTAAAAACTAGTTGTAATTAAAAAAAAAAGAATTTATTATAATAATACATATAATTAAATAATATAAAAATGACAGAAGTAATGCAATAAAAGAAATTAATTGTATATATATGTGTGTTTTCATTATGATTCAAGCATAAAGATGTATATGTTTCTACTTATTTTGTATGCTCGTAATGATTTTATCAAATGAAATAATAAACAATTTAAGTACCATTGTATTTTACGTTAAATACGCTTTCAAAGAATTTATAAATTAATATTTGTCCATGACTATTTGATATAATAAATAAAATCCGTGTAGTACTTCTTTCTTGTAAAATACACAGCGCCATTGATCTATTGATATCGGTAAAGAAAACTTCAGTTGTGCAAGATAAACAAAAGCATTATTAATTTTTTATTTTTCCAAAGCTATTCAAAATGTCAGTATTGTAAATCTAAGTTTATTCAAGCGGCATATTTTTTATATGCAATCTTACAGTGTGTGCTACACATATATATATGTAATATACTCATAGCATATATATATATATATATATATATTCGAGAATGTTGTATTAAATACAATAATTTCGATATATTGAATTAGGACATTTACAATTTCTTAATATAAATGAAATATGATAGTTTCCCAATATAAATGTCCATAATTTTTCTTATTTAATTTTTCTTGATTATCAAATATTTTAATTTTTATCTATTGATTATTTAATTAATGTTAGAAGTAATTTATTAAGTTTAAATTTTTAATCTAATTTATATATATGATAATTTGTTTGAGAGTTAATTTACTGAAAAACTATGGTAAATAGATTTATTATAATTCAAGATTTGTCACTATTCCTATTTATATATTACAAGATAATTAATAAATAAATAAAATGTTTTTATTCAGTATGAAAAAAACAATTGAAATTATTATAAGAAATTATTCGGAACTATATAATCTAATACTTTTAAAGAATAACTATCGATTACCTTCTCTTTCTGGTTCTGTATTAATTTTAGCGAATAACGCATTGTCGGTTATGACAAGCAAATGTAAGGAAGCCTTAAACTTAAAAAATGTTTAGATTGTTAATTATAGGCTATGAGTATATTTATATATAATTTTCTACTCGTTTAACAATACTGGAAAAATATTTTATTTATTTATTTATTTATTTATTTATTTTATTTTATTTTATTTTTTTTTTTTTTTGTTGATGCTGTTAAAATACCTACGAGTGCGAATATAATACAAGTGAAAGTATATAATATCGGGGACATGAAAACACTTCATACCCATAGTAGTTTTACAATATGAAGACTAATTATACACACTGAGAACTGCATAATTTATTATATTGTTAAAAGTGCCTGGATTTATACAAAAGAAAGTATCACTGATTATATTATATAAAGTTTAGAGCATATTATTTGACATATTCTTGAAAAATATTCAACATGTACACACATATTTTATATTTCTTTCAACAATTAGTATACACTAACAGTTATTTAAAAAAATAATTGTATAATCTCTACTCGTTAGAATAGATTATAAGCTAATTTAAGTTTTTTGAAAACAATATTATCTTAATAAAAATCGTATCAATTGTTCGCAGAGATTTCCATATAAATTATTTTTAATCTTAATATATCTTAATATATCATTTGGTATTCGTATCAATAGGATTAAAATTGAAGTATTTTTTTTTAAAAAAGTATTCTTTAGAATATTATAAATGAATAAAAACTAGTTTTTTCTTATTTTGGATCGAGAAACATATTACTTATTTTTTTAATATAAAATTTTTATCGAGCCCTTATTATTATTATTATTATTATTATTATTATTATTATTATTATTATTATTACTAAACTGTTTTATTTTATTTTATAAAATCACCTTCACAGATGACAATTATAATATTGATTTTATTTAGTAGATTATTAGTACTCATTTTGGAGTCTCAAGTGCATTTTTTCAAAAAATTATTTCAGCGTAATATTAATTTATTGAAAAAGAATTAAATAAATTTATGAGTTTTAGATGAATTTTTAATTTATTCACTCATAAGAATATCAATGTCATTTATTTAATTGAAGCTACGTATATTTTTTGATATTTAAAAAATGTTAAAAATCAATTTCTAGTAGAAAAAGATATACAATGAACGTGAATCACTTAAGCTTGCTTCATTTAATATTTTATAATATGTAAAATGTGTTGACGTCATTATATTTTATATA